CACCTGTAGTTCTTATGACAGGACTACTGGTGAACAACCATTCGGTTCCGAATCGCATACACAGTGTGTGACGTTGTGTCGGATATTATTGGAGACAAAGACACAAATGTTATCCGATTTTCATTGATAATTATTTAATTGAATTAGACGTCGAGTTAAACCAAATGCAACAATATTGTTATTATCATGATATAAACAAAACTCTATATAATAATATCAGTGTTGAATGTTTGAAATATTGTCCCAAAGATTGTCTGACAGTTGAGTACAACTCAAGAGTCATATCAAGTCATTCACAAATTGGTAACGATTTAGGGTTTAACTCGAGTCTTGAAAATTGGTTTACAGAGATGTCCTTCGTTTGGGACTCAACACAACCCCTGTATGTCTATCGGGAGGAACCAGTTATGTCTCTAACAGACTATATGTCATATACTGGAGGACTGTTTGGTCTATGGTTTGGCACTAATGGCAAAGACTTCATCATTTGGTTAACACTGAGAATCCGTTTGCTATGGATTTGGTTTGCAATGAAATACAATCAATACTTCACTCGCACTATAGTACATCCTATCAATTATTAANAACACTGAGAATCCGTTTGCTATGGATTTGGTTTGCAATGAAATACAATCAATACTTCACTCGCACTATAGTACATCCTATCAATTATTAACACATTATAGTAATAAAGAATATATAAGAATATTATAGAATCTCAATCTAAATATATGATTTATATTGAATATTTATAATGATTAAATAATATTTGATTATAATATTTGTGTAAATATATAATTATTAGGAAATATCTACTTAGTTAACAATGCATTAATACATTATTTATTAACACTAATAGTAAACTTACAATAGACAATTTTAACGTGTTATATATTTTCTACAAATATAAATTAACTATAACTCAAGAAATATATTACATGTCACATTTCACTCTAAATTCTCCCTTACAATTTAATTATGCCACTAAATCTTTATATTATTTTAATTATATAATTTTATAAAGTTACTATTTAAATTTGTTAATCTAAATATATTAAAAGCCATAAAATGCAAATTTTGTATTATTAATATATCGTAATAGATTATGAATAATAACTTCGATGATTCTTACATTAGTATTACAATAAATGTTAACTTCCTATGACTTTTATATTGAATTATAAGTTATTTCCTGAAATATTTAGATAGAAATTAATTTAAATATCTATTGTATTATAGATTAATTTATACGACATAATAATTCATTATACACACGAGTATTATAAAATGGTAATTCAATTGACAAATCAATAATTTAATTAACAACACGTTTATACAGTATAATGAGCAATGTTTGTATTGTAAGATATATCATACTTTTGACTTTTATACAACCAACCGTTCGTATATTTTATTATAATATTATGTTGAAAATCAGATTAAATGGCATTCAAATATACTTTTAAAATAATTGACACTTTAGAGTAGACATAAAACAGGGTTTCCCGCGGGACTACCGGTTCTTCTTGTAGTTATCCACTGACAGATCTCCCGGTCCTAAGACTACGATCATTAAAAGGCCGCCGATTACGGACAGGACAACGAAAAAGTGTTTTATCTCGCGATCAAACATTGCTTTGTTTGAGTCTATCGTCCAAAAAGGATTTGTATAAGAATTGACGGCTATTTGGGTGGAAAAAGAGGTCCAATAAAAACAATAATCATTAGCCAAACACACAAATGGTTCAAATGAACGGTTCGTATGGAGACTAACCCGTGAGCCACACGACCAGCAAAAGGGCCGACGGTTTGGTCTTATAGCCGATAGTGACGGCCACCACGAGTACCAAGACTATCACCTTTCGTATGATAAGAAACACGTTTTCCATGTCTCGCAGCTCTAGACTAAGGCTTGTGAAGAATATGAGAAGCGTTAGTATCCTTCCGGTGAACAGTAGATAAGCTTTGGGTCGGTTCTGTTCATCGCTGGGCACACCGGCCAATAGAGTGGGCGCCTCCGTCTGGCACTCCGCCAACAGCAACAATAGAGCGCCGCATAGGTTCAGAGCCCACGGCCATAAGAGGGGGTTCCATACGGCCCCGAACGTCAATGTCTGCCACCAATAGCACCATAAGTTAATACTCTCATCACTGGGAATAGGTTTACAACTCTTTTGAAATTACGATTCCCTTTCCGTAGTTTCCCTTTAATTTCCCGGTAGTACTGTTTTTACACAATAGTTACCACTTATTTGCTATTTTTTTGATTATTCTTAATGAAACACTATATGGATACTTTAGCAAGTTAATCAATTTATATTTCGTATACAGGGATACCCTTCCCTTTCCGCTCACGGGGGAAATACGGGAAAGCAAAGGGAATGTACATTATAGGGAAAATAAGTTGTCTCTCAAACCGGGACTGTCTGTCCGAATGGTTACCCGAAGTCCAACAACGCAGAAGAGTAGGCCGCACGCAATGGTCACGTGATAGCGGGTCAACTCGAGCCCGGATGCGATTAATTGGGACAACATATTGATTGAGACAAAAAGTGTGGCCAATTCGTGGCCCCACCTCTTGTCCATGTAGTTCCTCCCCTGTGACCACCGGAGACGTATGTGGAGTCCATCCTCGATAAATGTGGAGACCAGACACAAGCGGGCGATCGTCGGTAGGATAGCCTTTGACCGACGGAACACCTGATCCAGTGGTCGACACAAACAAGAGATCGGGGAATCAAGTGTGAGATATAGGCGCTCGCGTTCAGCACTCACCTCATCGGCCACGTCCTCAGCCTTTGATATCCACTGCCGTCTGTTGGACATGACTTTCAGTGATAATGGCGTCAATGAATGCCACGTGTATTGACTAGTATTGGAGGCACAGCTGATGACTGCATACGCGAGACTTAAATGAGTTTTCGCAGTCAATGCGATCATAACATTGAACGCAAATCATATGGACTTTCACTGCCAACAAGTAATTGACTTTTAATTACATTTGTTTCATATTTTTAATTATTATAATTACATTATAATCATAGAATAAAATAGTATTATTTGCCATAGTTTTAGGTTGTATATAATTTAGGTGAGGACTTGGTTTTAGGTAATGGTAGGGCATGGTTGGCTGGGTTGGTCAGGTAGTTCAATTTTTATTAATCTACTTTGGCCTAGAATAAAATACTTAATACACTTATTTAATGCTTAATATTGTAAGCATATGTAAGGCTATTAGCATTATATAATGTTAACCAGACTATTTTTGGCACACAAACTATAATAATATTTCATAAACGCGGCCTGAGCAATATTTTATT